AGCCGAAATGAGCTTCCTTCTCGGGGTGGTCGGGATCAGCCAGAGACCAGGTGAGGAGCTCCTTTGTGTTGTTTCAAACCTTTCACTGCTCATTTGAGCTTTTCTTCTGCTTCTTTGTGCCTATTAAAACTTCCTTCAGCAACTTCTTTCTGATCATCTCAGCTATTTTCAGCCTCTTTCAGCTCATTTGACACATTTTCAGCTCCTTTCAGCAAAATTCAGATTTTTTCAGCTACTTCTCGGGTAATTTTCTGCCAATTTTTTTACCTTTTCTGCTATTTTTGTTGCTAATTTCCACCTTTTGATTCTTTTGAATAATTTCAACTTGTTTTGCTCCTTTCGGCCTCTTTCTGCAAACTTCAGCTTTCTTTCTTTTTAGCTTGTATACGGCTACTTGTTTTTGCCCCTTTTTTTAAATCTCATTTCAGATTTTTGGTAATCTACTCAGCCCCTCTCTGCCTTTTTCAGCTTATTCTGCTAAACTAGTTGTTGATTCAGCTTTTTCTGCACGTTTCGGCTGTTTTTCTGTTGCTTTTAGTTTTTATTTTGCTGCTTTAAGCAAATTTCAGCCGTTCAAATTCAGCTCGCATGAACAATTCAGCCATGTTTTCAGCAGCTTTCAGCAAACATCTTGCATTTATGACGTGTCTCTGGTTTTAGCTGTGTGTTTCGGCTGCTGCTCGTGTTTGTGTATGTCGTGAGCGTACCGGACAGAAGTAGGTGTTGTCAGCGATGTGCTGAGCGACCCGAGGCTCGGAGGCCGACAGAGACATGATGAGCAGCAGAGCATCTCGGGCCTGCTGGCCCACCAAACCCTGCCTGAGAGACAAACACAATAAACCTGGACTGACGGAGCATGCAGCCATTTGTTTGTTTGTTTGTTTGTTTACCTGTGAGTGTACGGGATGAGCAGGGAGAAGAGCAGGAAGTTGGCGGCTCCCTGGTCCTGAGTGGTGTGGAAGAACAGCTCCAGGACCGACGGGTCTTTGACCAGAGCCACGCAGAGCTGGTTCAGGAGCTGGACCAGCTCCGCCTCCACAACACCGCCGCCGTCTGCCGGAAGAAACAGCGCCAGAGTCAACATCTTACCTGCAGCACATCCGACGGAGGCGTCATCAGACAACTAAACCAAACCGAGGAGTTGTGAGGTAAACTGGTTGATATGAACGTTTTCTTCTCAGAGCGCTTCTCTGCCGAGGTTGACCGCGTTTGAATTAAATAAATAAAATAAACAAACAAAGTTTCTTTATTTCTGCTGTAGATTAGTTGACAGTTTATAAAACTGCTTCAGACGGTGCAAGAAACGTTTGGCTACTGAAATCTTAAAAATGCAAAAACAAACATTAAATTGAATCTGAAATTTCTCATGGATTGGTTCAGTTTTCAAATCAAAGTTTCTGATCTGAGCCCGAACCTCAGGAGCTTTTCAAATTAAAAGTCAAGATAAAGAATGATTTATAAGAGATCAATGTAGGCAATCTGACAAATAGCTGGCATAAGTTTATTTTACTTTAAATAGCTTCTTTTATTCCTTTAAATAACCATTTAAATGCATTTATAGTGTTTACAGAGGTCATAAGAAGGCCCTCATAAATGATTTATATATTTTAAATAGTTTACAATCTAAAACAGAAAAAGAGAAAAACAAAATAAACTCAAGTTCATATAGATTTTTTTTTTTTACTTTTTGTAATTTAAAATTTTATTGAATTAAAAAAAAGACTTCATTGTGCCATAAATAAACTTTTATTTTGAAAAGCCCTAAAGAAACAGAAGTTTTTAGGGATTTTACAGATGTGAGATAAAGTCAATAAGAAATAAAACATCAAAAGGTGTTTTATTATTTATTTTATATATTCTGATTTAAATAAAGACTTAAACGGGATGTTTGGGTTAATTTATGACATTTGAGGCAGAGCAGATGTTCGAGCTAAAATAAAAACACTTGACTCCTTCTAAAACTCATTTAACCGTCAGATTAGGCATGAACTGGGATTATTAATCTGATGAAGCTCCTCACCGGTGGCAGCTCCGGCACACGAGGTGAGCAGCATCATGAGCGGCCGGAGAACGGGTTTGTGATGCAGCAGCGGCTGCTTGGCCTGAGATAAGAGCATCTGGTACATCCGGAGCTGCTCCAGCTTCATGTCCTCGGTGAACTGTCTCCTCAGGCTCCACAGGAACAGCCTCTCCATCACACCCTCCAGAACCACAAACTCCAGGATGGGCCCCATCGCTCCGCCTGGCGCAGGCACATCAACAGTCAGGAAGGACGTTTCAACCCCAGAGGGATGAGGTGCGGCTCATCATGCCTCACCTTGACCCGCCTCTTCCTCCATCAGCAGAAACAGCATGTGCTCCACGTAGTTCTGGACGGCGCTGGCCTCGTCTGCGGGGATCGGACCGAGCCGGAACGGCCCCGAGCCGCCGCCGCCGCCGCCGCCGCCGTGGAGGAAGCTCAGAGCTCTGGAGGAGCTGCGGCTCGGCTCGTGCTTCTCCAGGATCTTTGCGACCTTCGCAGACACAAGAAACATTTTCCTGAATTTTTCTCAAACGGTTCGTTTAATTTTCAACTTGAAGGATAAAAAACGAGCGACGGGCAAAAAACAGCATCGCATGAGTAAAATTAGATAAACATTAAACATGTTTTCTACTAAACTCTGACGGTTCTGCCTTGGAGAACAAAGAAAATCTTTAACGTTTTTAATTATAAAAACAAAACCAAAAAACATCTGGTTTCAAAAATGTTTAAGACAATTTTCAGACAAAGTAATGTCCACAGAAACTGTAGCAGCAAGCTAATTTTATCTAAACTCCAATTATGATTTAAAATTATATAAATATTTTCAACAAAAATGTTGTAGTGTCCATGCCGCACCACTAGGTGGCGAGAACATCTGGATTGAAAACATTTCAAACTAAAGAAGAACATTCTCAACTCGATTCAGAGCGGCTAAATCCGGTTCGTTTTATGAACTCGGGTTAATCTGTGTCAGATTAACAGAAATATCACCTGTAAAATGTTTGTACGATTCAGCTGAGTCAGCATCGTCTTCAGTGATTCAGCAGTTTTTTCTAGCGAGTCCTAAAGTGAGTCACAAACTGAAGTTTCATCTTTTTCTTGTAGATTAAAACACGTTTTGTGAAACTTTGGAAGCTCCTAACATCAAAGACAAGGTTCAGATATTTGAAAGTCTGGATTTCTGGAAGAACTATGAACAATTAAAATGTTTAAATTTGAGCTTTTAGCTACAGTTTAGGTAATTTCACATTTTGGCTACTGTTCAGCAAGTTAGTTCAGCTAATTTTAGCTTTTAGCTATTGTTTAACAGGTTTTAGCTTTTGTCTAATGTTTGTTAATTTTATCTTTAGTAGTTGTTTTTCTAGTTTTACCTGTTTTGCTAGCTTTAGTTTTTAGGTACTGTTTTGATTAGTTTAGCTTTTAGCTAATGTTTAGCTGGTTTTAGCTTCCTGTTGTCTTGTTACTTTAAGCTTTTGTCCATCCATCCATTAACTTTTACCCGCTTCTTCCATTTTGCGTCACGGGGATCACCGGTGCCCATGAGCTTTTGTCTAATGTTTGTTAATTTTATCTTTAATAGTTGTTTTTCTAGTTTTACCAACTTTAGCTTTTAGCTACTGTTTCGATTAGTTTAGCTTTTAGCAATTTTTAGCTGGTTTTAGCTTTTACCTGATGTTTTGTTACTTTAAGCTTTTGTCATGTTTGCTAATTTTGTTTAACAGTTGTTTTTCTAGTTTTACCTGTTTTGCTAGTTTGTTTGTTTTTGTTTTGCTGTTTCGTTCATATTTGCATTTAGCTACTGTTTAGCTCATTTTAGCTAACTCTAACTCACAGATTTAATGATAATCTGTCAGAGGATGTGCAGGGTCCAGGATCCTCTGACTTGTGAGTCCCGAGTCAGTGCAAAAATATGGATCATTAACCCGAGTGAGTCGGTAACCGACCAGCTCTAATTCGGCTGAAGATTCTCCCAAAACTCACTGGAACTGTTTCCTGTCAGCTCGAACCCACTTCAGCGTGTTTAACGTTTAATTCAATTCAGTTCAGTTCATTTTATTTGTATAGCGTCAAGTCACAACAGAAGTCATCTCAGGGCACTGAACAAAAACATAAAAAGTCAGTTAATAATGTTATTTATCTGAGGAGCAGATTGCTTTGAGTCTTCACTTCGTCAGGTCCAAAAACCAAAACCTCAGTCTTGTTTGAGTTTAAAGCAGAAAATTAAGGGTCATCCAGGTTTTTATGTCTTTAAGACATGCTTGTAGTCTAAGTAACTGATTGGATTCTTTGGGTTTCATGGACAAATATAACTGTGTATCATCAGCATAACAATGAATATTTATCCAATAACTTTACTTAATGGAAGCATATATGTAAGGTAAAGAGTATATGTCCAAGCAGTGAACCCTGAGGAACTCCATGACTGACTTTATAAGAAAAAGATTCAACAGGATCAGGGTAGGATACAGAGAAACGGTGTAAAATAACGTCTCAGTTGTTGTTTTGGTTTTCAGAGCACCAAGTGATAAAAGTCGAAGTTCTGAACTTTGAGTCCACGTAGCTCAACGAACTGTTAATTCTTTAACAACGTTCAAATCACCCGCCGCCTTTTCGTGACAGAATTTTATAAAAAAGATCATTTTATGTTGAGGAAGACTCTCGGAGTATGTGTTGTGAACGACGCTCAGCTACTACCACATAAAACTTTAGCTCAGTGTAAAACTGACCGAGCTGCAGCCGGACTGAGGAACATGAGACGTCTGTCGGGGATCTGAACCAGTACTTTACCTGGACCCAGTGGTTCTTAAACACAATCATGCAGGTCTCTGGGTCCACGCCTCTCAGTGTGAGGGACTTCTTCCGGTTGCCCCCGACAACCACAGAGGCCATCATGGTGACTGGCTGTCAGGCCGTTAAATCATGATCCGGGTGGGGGTGCAGGGGACGCTGATGGGAGGACCAGGAGGACAGCTGCAGGCCTGTGGACAAAGGTTCTGTTACAACCAACTACCACAGCTCAGACACCTGAAACATTAAAAACTGTCTGCAGGAGCAACTTTTCACATTTTGCCTTCAGACTGTGTTTGTGTACGATGAAAACTGCCTGAAACCAACAAACCTGATTCCTGTCCATCGTTTTATAAAACACCAATGAGGAAATATGAAGAACAGTTTTCATCTAGGACGTTCAAGACGTCAACTGGAACTGAACCAAGCTGTATTTTTGTCAGAATTTGGTGAGCGTGGCCTCAGAGGGAACAAATAAAGTACCATGTAGTGTGCAGAGCTCACAGCCTGTTAGTAGAGAGGACGGCCTTTAATTCATCAGATCTGAGGCTGCAGGACAGAAATCCATCTCAAGGAAATTTATTTTCGGCTGCCAGGACGCCAGGAATGACATTTCTGATGTTAAAAAAAATCCTCTGCTCTTTAACTGTTCTACAGATATTTTCTGTCCTCTAACCGAGAATATAAATCCAAACGCAGTGAAGCACTCGTGTTCAAGAGAGTGTGATGGGTGCTGCAGCACCTCCTGATGAGTGTCAGAGGACATGCATGTCCAAATATGTAGTTCTTCTTCTTCTTTCAGCTTTTCCCTCTTCTGAAGTTGCCACATCGAGTCATCCTCCTCCATCTCACTCTGTCCTCTGTGTCCTCTGTCCTCACTCCAACTACCTCCATGTCCTCTCTAACTGCATCCATGTATCTCCTCTTTGTCTTTTTCCTGCAGCTGCATTTCTAACATCCTTCTACCAATATACCCACTGTCCCTCCTCTGGACATGTCCAAACCACTGTCCCTCCTCTGGACATGTCCAAACCACTGTCCCTCCTCTGGACATGTCCAAACCA